ACCACACATGACTTACTAGACATGACCAACCACACATGACTTACTAGACATGACCAACCACACATGACTTACTAGACATGACAAACCACACATGACCAACCATAAATGACCAGACAATACCAACCACACATGACCAACTTGACATGACCCACTAGACATAACCAACCACACATGACCAACCAGAAATAACCAAACAGACAATACCAACCACACAAGACCAACCACACATGACTAACCACATATGACCAACCAGAGAAGACCAACCGCACATCACTGACCAAACAGAGATATGACCAAACAGAAATGACCAACCACACATGACCAACCACACATGACAAACCACATATGACAAACCAGAAATGACCAAACAGACATGACTAACCACACATGACCAACCAGAGAGAACCAACCGCACACCACTGACCAACCAGACATGACCAACCACACATGACCAACCAGAGAGAACCAACCGCACACCACTGACCAACCAGACATGACCAACCACACATGACCAACCAGAGAGAACCAACCGCACACCACTGACCAACCAGAGATGACCAACCAAATTTTTCCACAACAAAAAAAAAGCACCATGTTAAGGAATGAAATAGGACTGATGTTAGTGCCGATATGTCATGCTGATTAAAAGCAGACAGCAGGCTGAGCGAGCAGCAGCTCTGCTGTGAAAGAAAAGAACTTACGGACACAGAGGTCTCCTGTTTCGTAGAATCCAGGGCAGCACTGCGAGCGTCTCCTGTACATGGTCCTCACACCTCTCCTGTAGGCTGTCTTATAGCTGATCCTGCACAGGTCACATAAGAAAGACAGGTCATTATCAGGAGACTGCATACAGATTTCATTTACTCCTTACTCAAAAATGTTACTGTTTTACAAAAGTTTTTGATAAAACCCAAATCTATCAACTTTGGTTTAAAGGTGTAAAGGCATCAAAGATGAAGATGAGGCAACAAAGATGAAGCCAAAACAGAAAAAGTTAGGCAGGAAAACCTAAAAACTTCATTATTGTTGTAGAAACCTAAAGTAGCATCCAGGTGCTGCTGATCAGATGCCATAATTAGCGGCGTGGGAGTAAAAGCAGGAATTTAATCACTCTGCTGCTCTGGAGCAACAGGTGTGAGTTAACACACTCCTAAAGTGGAAAGACAGCAGCAAAGACCTCAGAGCAGCAACTGCGACATCTCATCAATCTGTAAGGGTTTACCTGATGTCCATCACCATGGTTGGGGGGGCATTCAAGCGAATTCAAAGAAAGGTCAGAGCATGCAATGCCGTCTATGTAGAACTGTTTTTAAATCAGATTAAAGGCTGTTTTAAAAAATAACCTGCGACCGCACATTTCTGTGTTAAAATGTTCTTCCTGGTCTTTATGTGACATCCTTATCTTAAATATCAGATTTTATTATTTGTTGCATTGTTCTATCCTGATATGTTTATATATCATGTGTTTCACTTAATGAATCTGCCTGTATTTTAAGTTTTTGCTGTGGTCAACTAAAGTGAATAAAGTCTGACTTTATGCTCCTGAATATCATGCAGTGAAGTGCAGCAAGATAAGCCGTCCATGAGATTCTGGAAGAACAGTCATCTCATCTCTTCTGAAAGGCAAGCAGCAATTTAGGGGAGCTCTGCACTTATTCAAGGACGGAGCAGTTTTCTGACATTTTGGCTCAGGATCTGCAGCGCAGCACTTAGCTGGAGGAGGTAAACCAGCTCTATAAAGTTTAATGTGGTCATTAGAGGCGATACATTCCTGTTGCTCCAGCAGACAGAACTCTGCTGTCTGCTTGATGCACTCTTACTCTGGTGGCTGCTGGCCTGGAGGTCAGACTGATGCTCTGCAAAAACTCAGCCTTCAATATAGTTCATCTTTATTTGGTACAATTTCCTATAAGCTTTAGGAGTCAGATGTTTAGGTGTCTTCCACCAGCTTCCTGGTGCAGTTTGCCAGAGTTTTAGCCCATTCCTCCGGACCGAACCGCTGTAACTTGGTCAGGTTTGTAGAACGCTCTGCTCACACAAACTCTTTTAGCTGCACCTACTACTTTTCTCTGCGATGAGGTGAAGGGTTTGTGTTGAACAATTCAGAACATGGAGGAGTTGCCCTTTAGTCAGTTTGTAAGTTGACGGTATGCTAAGGAAAAAATGTCCATTTGGAATACAAATTAGTGTCCAATCTTATAACATTCTTGCTAGAGTCTTTAGATCTTGCTCCATTATGTCCACTCAATGTTATCTCTCCATCTTTTCTGGAAGTGCACCAGTCTCTCCTGCAGCAAAACACAGCATGATGGTGCCACCACCGTACTCCACACATAAGGTGATGTTCTCTTTACTTTTTCTTCCAAAATGTAAAGTTGGACAATTTGTCCAAACACTTCAATGCTAGTCCCTTCATATTGGTTTACTTTGTGTCAGTTGTGAAATGGTAACAAGTAAATTCAGTTTTGGAAATAAATGAAACACTCTCTAAGTTAACTGAACAGAAGCAGCTGTTGTCTTTGTGACCAGCAGCTACTAACAGAAATGGACAAATGTCACGTTGAAACAGAATTTTGAAACTAACATTGTTCCAACTCCCCCAACTCCATCCCCCCTAAGAGACCTTCAGGGAAAGTGGAACATTTTTCATTTTCCACAGTGAGGAAAGAAGAAATGTGTAAATGTGCCGTGCGTTGAATCAGCTGTGATGTTCTGCCTCCCCTCAAATTGTGGGACCACTTTTCTTATTATGTCTATTTTTACTCTGCTTCAGTGTTTAAACCTTGAGGTACTTGATGACAACATTCAATGAAAATGGCTCTTAATCAGAAGAAAAGTCCTTTCAGGAGTAGCCCTGATGAGGCTTAGAGGACTCTGGTATTTTTAAACCCAGCAGAATGCTGTGAATGCACCAAAAAAAAAGACACGCTGCACGAAATAACGATGTGCTGCAATACTTTACAATGATCAGACCTCCACATATCCATGAATTCTGACTTCCTGTTGGTTTGCATCTTAACAAAGAGTTCCAACCTTTACCAAGCAGGAGGAAATATAGGTTTTGCAGTTTGTTCCCAACACACTGGAGTGGCCCTGAGTCCGTCTTATGCCAGTTAATGAAGAGCGAACATGAAGCTGTACTGCAGCTACGTTTTATAAATTCAGCAGATAAACCCTTCTTTTTAAAGCCTTGCACGTGTGACAGACTGCAGCCACAAACAGTGACGGATTTCATTCTGGTTTTATCACTGATAAAGAAAATTATGTTGCAAAAGCAGCAAACATGTGCTTTGATAAGAGGAGACCAAAGTCACGCTTCATTTCTAAGAAAAACAGAATGTAAAGGTAGAAGAATCACCAAGCATCCCCACAGTCTAACATTGTGATGCTGTGGAGTTACCTGTCTTAAGCAATGACTAAGAAGCTGGAAGAACTGGTTTACTTAAAGATGGAATCAGATTAGTCTCCAAAAACAGTGGAGCTGGTTGTGGACTTCAGGAAGAGCTCAGTCCCAGCTATCCCCATCAACCTCAGTGACTCCACAATTGAAACTGTGGAGTTTCAACTTCCTGTGAACTATCATCTCACAGGACCCAAAGTGGGAGCTGAACGTCAGCTCCCTCACCAAGAAAGCCCAGCAGAGGATGTACTTCCTGTGGCAGCTAATAAATTTAACCTGCCAAGGACAATGATGGTGCACTTCTACTCCTCCATCATTGAGTCTATCCTCACCTCCTCCATCACCATCTGGTACGCTGGTGTCACCGGCAAGGACAAAGGCGGACTACAGCGTGTCATCCGGTCTGCAGTAAGGTGAATGGCTGCAATCTTTCATCTCTTCAGGATCTGTAAACCTCCAAGACTCTGAGGCAAGCAGGGAAGATTGGGGCTGATCCCTCGCACCCCAGCCAGAAACTATTTCAGTCACTTCACCTTTGGCAGAAGGCTGCAGTCCATAAGGACCAAACCTTAAGCTATAAGAACAGATTCTTCCCATCCGCTACCAGCCTTATCAACAAGACCCAGAGACCCCCGTCATACTGACACTGCCTCTCTCCCCCTCCCACGTTCAGGACCTATTTGCTACAGCAACGAAGCATCTCCAGACCTCATGCATTATATTTATGCACAGCCTAGTGTGTATATAGTATATAGCTATATACTATATATTGTATATAGTATATTGTATGTTTTATATTTTATATAGCCATAGATCCTGTATTCTGTCATCAACACCAAGTCAAATTCCTTGTAAGTGCAAACCTACTTGGCAATAAACTTGATTCTGATTCTGAGTCCGAACCTGTTGGAGGCCATAGAGGACCTGAAATAGTCTGTACTTATATAACCCCTTAGAAGTCAGGGGAGGGATGCCAACCAGAAAGGTCTAGTCAAAGTCCAGACCTAAATCTAACTGAGAATTTTGGACTAGAATTTTACAACTGATGATTTGAGATGTTCTGTATCCCAGAAGTTCCTAAACTAGCGTCTGACCCATAAAATTGGTGCAAGAATCGACTCATGACCCAAAATATCGCTTCATGAAAGGAAACTTCTTGTCTGGTTCCATCCAGCTGCTCCCTCCATCATCACGCTCGGCAAAGGTCTGCAACTAGATCAGGCATCCCCAAAGTTGGTCCTCAAGGGCCACTGTCCTGTAGATTTTAGAGGTTTCCCTGCTTCAGCACAGCTGATTTACATTGATAGTTGATTAACAGGCTTTTGCTGAACTGGAATCATCAGAATCAGCTGTGATAAAGCAGAGAAACCTCTAAAATCTGCAGGAAATCAGCCCTCGAGGACCGACTTTAGGGATGCCTTTACTACATGCTCCTTCCGGGACGCGAAGCCTGGTCCCCCACATCGGAGGTCATAGACGTAAACCACTAATTCACTACAGCTGCACAACACAGTTCTAAACAACATCAACAACCAAAGTTGCAGGGTTTTTTTTTTAAAGTGATGCTTTTGTATCTTTAAACATTTTAAGATAAATATTTATGGCTTAGTTTGTCTCTGTAGGGGATTTCCTTCATTAACTTTAGGAATCAGTGCTGCATCCAACCTTCAGTCTGCAGATATTGAAAGCTGGCAGTTAGAAACCCAGAGGTGCTGAATATAAAAGTACAGCTCACTTTTCATGGGCCTGATTATCCTTCTATCTCATAATTCAGCTGTTTAACTGAAGTTCATACTGTTAAAAAATATGGAAAACTCTAGGGGGAGTGAATACTTTTGTGTGGCTTTGAAGTCTTTTGTTGGCTTCTCCAGATAGGAGTGTTTCTTAGGTTCTCTTGCATTACTTCAGACAGTGTGAGGGCCTCCCTGTGCTCCTACCTGTGTTTTGTGCATTTGAACCAGTTGAGGATGTCGGTGCAGCGGGTGTAGTAGACCTGGTCGAAGGGATGGGCGTAGGATTCCTGCACGGTGACGGCGTAGCTGCAGAAGAAGAAAAATGAAGTTAGAGCTACCCAGAACCTGAGGAACGTCTCTGTAGGAGTCAACGGTTAAAAAGAAAGAAATCCAGAATAAACGGGTCAGCATTATGAGGCGAAACTCTGTCTACTTTCAAAAAACTTTCCTTTTTGATAAAGCTTATAGTTAGAGTGGTTCAGATTATCCTGAGCATCTATATAGTTATGCTGCTGTAAGCTTAGACTGCTGGAGGACATAGGGACCCGTTATCATCATTCAGCTTCCTTCAGTCTCCATTCTCCCACTCTGCAGAGTTACAGTAGTTCAATCTCTAATGCTATGCACTCTCTGCTTTTTCTCATACTAACATATATTTATCTCCATTCAGCTGGGCTGCTGCCATCAATACCGTTGTTTATAGATGTTGGAGTTTGCCCTGTTTTTCAGTGTAGTCCTGTTTCTCTGACTGTGACTAACTGGATGTGCTCTCTTTCATCCACATTGGAGACAAGGGACATGGGAGCGGGGTTCGGAGCTCGTCTGCCTGGCTGTGTGTTTCCTGGACGGGGCCTCCTGTGGAGCTGGTTGACAGTTGCCTTTTGTATCTATTCTTCTTTTTCTATGTCTGCTTCTGTCTCCTTAAACCCCAGTCGATCTCAGCAGATGGCCACTCACACTGAGCTTATATCTGGTTCTACTGGAGGTTTCTTCCTGTTCAAAAAGAGTTTTCCTCTCCACTGTCGGTACAAGCATGCTCGGTGTAAAGGATTGCTGAAGAGTCAATGAGTCGATGCAATCAACTGGTTTTCCTTAGATAGAAAACATTGAACCAATCTGACTGGATGATCATGTTGAACTGGATTGATAAAAAAATATGAGATTATATCATCTGAATTGGAGCTATAGAAATAGATCAAAATTAAATAGAATTCCTCTTTAACACAGTGAAATATTGACCCCAGAGGAACCAGGAATTTTTAGCAGCCATTGATTCATGAGGAAGACTGGACTTCTCATATTGTTTTTTAGCAGTTCTCCCATGACACTTCTAACAGCGTGAATGAATGGAGGTCCCTGAAGTGAGCCTTTGATTGCAGGAGAAACTGTAATCCTGTTTGGAGCTGATATCCTGCTATGGATCACAGCACCTGTTTTGCAGCCCATCAGAAAAAGCTCTGGGTTTCCCACCAATCCCAGTTTACTGCAGTGGCTCTGGATTTACAGCCTCCACACGCCGCCCGCTGTAAACCTTTTCTCTTTTGCATCTGACTTCTGGCAGAACTCCCTGGCCCTGATTTGTGGCGGGGAGTCCATTAGAACACTGCAGCGGTCCTGACCAGCTTTAAATCATCTTAGTGTTGGAGTAGAACCCACCTCTCCCAGTGGCTGCACACGTTCGGGTCATCGGGGTTGAGGGTCCAAACACCAGAGATGAAGCTGAGACACAGCAGAGTGAGTGGGGGAGAAAAGCTGACCCCCATCGTCCTCCTCCCTCCGTCCTGACAGGAAACAAGACAGAAAGGAGAGGAAGTTCATTTAACCCCTGAAGACACAACTGTTCCTTCAGATCATATAAAAATACAATAACAACAGAATAGATTTCTTTTGTGGAGAAAAAATATATCTCCTCTGAGAAGGTAACCACTTAAAAAATAAAGAAAACAACCTTAATGTGACAATGTCGACTCTATCAAAGCTTTATGAAGACAAAGGAGGAGACAGAGAGCAGTTGTGTTAGCATTAGCTGAAACTAATAGGAGCAACAGAACCAGGACACACTTCTTCAGGTCATAAAACAAAACATCATATTTCTAAATGCCGGTTTAATGATCCTACAGATCTTACTTTCCAGCCTCTGGTACCACCCAGATGACGGCAGCCAGAACCTTCTTACTATCAAAGTTATATATGCTGATGAAAACCCCTGACAGGAGAAGACGGCTATGACACCTTCTATTCGAATGACCTCTTAAAAAATATGCGGTACATCTCAAGGAGCTATTCTACAAATAAATAAGTTTGTTGCTGTTTTCATGAATTAGGGTCAACCAAAAGAAAATATCTTACCTACCAAAAATTATATATATATATACATATGTATGTATGTATGTACATCGTACGCATGCATGTATGTACATCGTACGCATGCATGTATGTACATCTATATATATATATATATACATAT